ATTCTTAAGGCTGCCATTAGATTAACTCTTTAGCGCTTGTCTATGGTTGTTTAATGGTAAGATTAATTAAGATCGCTTGTTTCCTAATTAATTACAATTAAGGAGAGATAGAAAAATAGTTCCAACGGTGAATATTTAAAGTAAGAATTGATTTACTTTTGCATCAATGATCAGTTGTAGGATTCCAATGGTGGATGTTGATGGAGACCAAGTTTCGTTATATTAATTGATTTCGAATTGAATTGTTTTTGTTTTTGTTTTTGGCTAAGATTGCTTTCTGTTTTACTCAAAACCCCCCAGCTTTATTTACATCATCAAAAATTCGGCTAGACACTCTTCGTGGGATCGACCCTTGCTTACCCTATTTACAGTTCAGTAGTTAGGTTAGGAAGGTTTTTAATCTTGGTTGCCTACGACAGCACACCAACCAGCATTTGAGAAGTTTCCTCCCATTGTTTGCTAGGAACCTACAAAATTATCCGGCACACACCTGTAGACATGTCAACTTTTGTAAATAAAAAAAAAAAAAAAAACACATAAAAAAGTTACAGAGTGGGTAGGTGAGAAGTTCACTCAGTCTGTGTCTTTCGGTAAAGCTCCATATAAGCATGACACCTGCAGCATCAGCACCACAACTCAAGTATCAACATCAGCATCACATAAACTACAAAATTCAAAGTCCAACTTTCATACCTTTTTATTGGGCTCTGCTCACTCAAAACGGATTCATCTGCCCATGGAAGCAGTCGACAGCTCAGCCCTCCCAACAGTCTCTCATTGTTTCGTCATTCAACCAGTCCATCGGGGTGTTGGTCATGTCGAACTCAATAAATTTCAGGGCGTATGCCCCACATTCAGCACTACAATAGGAAGAATACATTAGCATTAGAATAAACTTATAGAACAATTGTATTATGTAAGTTAGTTTTATACAAAATTTACCTTGACTCATTTATTGGGCCGGTAGAACGCTTAATTGGCCACTTTCCGATTAGTACTTGATCACCCAAGTGCCCAAACATCCCACTGTCATGCAACAGCTGCGGGAACAACCTGGACAGTGGCTCCAGCTCGACCTCCAACTATTTGTCTTGACAAATAGTAGGGTTGCAGTCAAGGATCTTCAACAACCTCCCCTCTAGATGCGGAACGACTGCTATCCAGTACATCTATTTGACGAGGATGATACAGTACACTCTTTTAACAAAGGCCCAACCGTGACCATATTTGGGCCGATCCCCTCGTATATACTGCATAATTTTGTCATCAAAATGAAAATCATTAGGGATGCAGTCCAACTGTACTGGGGCCAATCATTTTTGCTTCGGTCCTTTTCTTACACTACTAGCAACGACATTTTTAATTAAAGTGCGATATGCCGAAACAAGCGTTTGGCCAAATGCCACATCGGTGATGGCACAGTCGGGATACAATAGATGACCGTTAGTAGTCTGTCGTAGCCTCATCAGTGCTAATATCTCATCGATGTGCTGCATCAAATAAAAACAACAAGATAAGTATGGAAAACATAGACAAAAATAAGGAAAATTAAGCGAAAATAACTCACCGAGTCCTCAAGCCACATGCCCATCGTCAACAACTTCTCAAACCATTCCCGAGGATAATCCCCTGTGTTATACTTTATATGGCCATTACTTCTTGATCCATTGTAATAGGCATAGAAGAGTTTTTTCTTTTCCTCTATTGGCCTATACAAATCGACATTTGAGTCCAATTTCGCTTGCCTACTTCCTCCGCCTTCCTCCATTTTTACATCCCTGCTTCCTTCGCCTCCCAGCTCGTCCTGTTCCATTATCACCGCCCCACTTCCTCCACCAACCTCCTCAACCTCCTCCATTTCTGGTTCTTCCTCCATATGTTTCTTAATTTTCCTCTTCTTTACCTGTGTCATTACCATGTAAGGCGATTTTACAAACTTGCTCTTTTGGCTATCTCTTTTCAAGCCAGTTTGCACTTCAACAACCTTTAATTCTCCACCAAATTCCTCCTCCATTGTACCAACTTCCTCCTCCACTGTACCAACTTTCTCTCCTAGCTTATCCACTTTCTCTTCCACCCTTTTCATATACTCTTCCATCTTGTCAAACCTTGCTTAAACGGCTATAGTAAAACTCTCAAACAAGCCGTTTATGAGGTCAACAACCTCATTCTCTCGAAGCCGATGTCTCAGCAAAGCGATACTTATTGTACAAGTTTGCTGAGGCATAAGAACCTCTTCCTCCCTCTTCTCCTCCTCATCCTCTGGCCTCCCTCCCATTAGAGCTTCATAATCCTCAGCATCAACGACGTTGTCAAGCAATGGCCCTGCAATTATTGTGACATGCGTGACCCCTCTTAGGTCCTACATCAGGCGGTCTATCTGTTCATCCCTTTCATCCTCCACTGCTTCGAAAGATGTGACATAGTCCTCTTCCACTTCATCCCTAGTAGCGGTGAGAAAGGGACAGACAACTCCCTATAATAAGAAACAAAATCAATCAGATTGAAGCGACATTTTAAAGCAACTGCATATTCAAAAGCTTAATCCTTTAATCTTACCCCAGCCGCTTGAATCTCAATCTCTATTTCGTCGTAATCCGAATGGTTACACTTCCCAACATGCCACCATAATATCCTAGGAAATTGATGTTGCACATCCAAACTGTTGCTTCTCCCCCTCGCCTTAGCGAAGACAGGGATGGCCTCGTACATCCAAGCCTACATTGTAAAAAAACAGTCCATATCATAATTCAAACATATATATTATAAAAAATATAACTAAGAGCTATTAATATTTACCTGCATTGCCCATGGGAAGCCGAACAAATTATACGTGCTTGGTTTATCCTTCTTGCCCCATTAGGCATGCTTTAAAGCCATGTCTGGTTTTTTCAGGATCTTGATGGTTCGGTCAAATGATATCCGTCCCCACGGATAAGAATTAAAGAACTCCAAGTCGCTTGTAAACAACAACCAATCTTTCTCAACAACATTTGTTGAGTCACTAGCCAATAAGATAGAATGTAAAAACAATAGCAAGCACACTTTTATCTTCTCTCCATCATTAAACCGAACTGTTTCTAGCCTCTCCTCTAAAATGTGTCCTGTAATAGACTTTGTCCCCTGCAAAACCTTTTTACGAAACCTTATGGCTCCCGGACTTGTCCTTATTGCGTTTGCCTCCACCTCATTTGGCACTTCCCCGCATCCTTAGCCTGTCACCAGGGCATACTCCATCATCCCAAACCGTAGTGGCTTTCCGTCTACCATGAACCACATTTTTTTTTTTTTTTTTTTGTTGCATTTTACTAAGTGCAGCAACACGTAATGCACTCCCTGCCCCCAAAATGCCTTTTTCCAATTTGTTCCGATTCTTAAAAACTGACTGACACAAGTGCGACAGAAATCTCTTTCACCATGCCTCATTCCAGCTAAAATGGCCCTCATTATGTCAAAAACATCCCAACTCGACCTCACTGTCACCCTTACAGGGAAATAGGGTACCTTCTCACTTATAGGCTCCAACTCATAGTCTCTACAGTTTACGGTCTGTACAATCTGCACAATCGATATAAACAAAATGTCAGCAACAAAAATAAACCAAAACAACTAATAAACAAAATATCAGCAACAAAAAATTACCACTGTAGTCGCTTAAGCGATTTCGGATCACTTAAGAGATCTCGACTCTGCCTCGTGCAAGATCGCTTAAGCGATCTGAAATCACTTAGGCGACCAAGAGTAAACTGAAAGAATCTCTTAAGTGATACAAAGATTGCATATTATATCTGTGATTCTGCCTCGACAAGATCGCTTAAGCAATCTGAAATCGCTTAAGCGACCAAGAGTAAACTGAATCAATCGCCTAAGCGATCATGAGTAAAACAGATTAATCGCTTAAGCGATACAAATGATTGCTTAAGCGATAGTACAAGCAATATTCCCAAACAACGTACCCTTTCTTCGTCGGCCTCCTCCTCGTCGCCTGAATCCTCAGACGACTCCTCTTGGCCTGAATTCTCGCCGGACTCCTCCTCCTGGCCTGAATTCTCGCCGGACTCCTCATCTTCAGAACCGTTTGCCGAATCTTCCCTTCGTTCTTGTGCCGCCGACGTCTCCTCTGCGTGTGGACCATCTTCACTGATCGGATGATCCACCGGAGCAGCCATTGAACTGCTTACGCCATCGGAATCTAGAATTCGAAGTGGCGTTGGGTTTTCCTCCTCATTGTGAGTGTCAGCCATGGTTTTGGATTGAATTTGGTGTCAAAGTTTGCAGTTTCGATCAGAAATGTGGACTGTATCGCTGGAAACTGCACAGATTCCGTTTAGGGTTAAGGAAATCGATTTTAGGGTTCAACAAATTGATCGGAAATCGTGATTATATCGCCGAAAATCGTGACTGTTTGGTTTAGGGTTCAAGAAATTGATTTTAGATTGCAAATTTACAGGTTAGATTGGAAAAAATAGCGTCTCCCTTTGGTTCAAGCAATCGTTTTTTGCCTTAATAAAGTTCGATTAAGCGAGGTGAATAGGTGGAGCTTGTTTTGAGAAATTTCAAATTTTAAAAACTTTCATTATTCTTTATTCGGCCATGTATATTTTAATCTTTTCATTTTAATCTATTATACGTGTTTAATTAATCCTAACTATGCTATGTCATCTTCTCTGAGAAAAAAAAAAAAAAAAAAAAACAGCTTCAAAGTCATTTTCTTAAATCGAAACTAGAGATGGCCGGCCAGCTAAATTTTCTCAACAATTTGGTTGGTTGGTTGCAGTTAGATTTGCTGACTTCTCAATTCTCAGTTCTCTCCATCATTCTCTGTAAAGTGTAAACAAGCTCAAGGGTTTAGGGCTTATCAGAAACGGAGCAGGAACGCCAATTATGAATCATTGAAACAAACCCAGCTGCTCCATTCACTTCACTTCATTCCTCTTCCTTCAATTTCATTTTTCTTTTTTTCATTCTCAAAAAGACGTTGTTTTCAATCCGATACGATCGCCAAATAATGTTGCCAAGATGTAGCGGAGCACTCAGCTCACTAAAAAACATAACACATAGAAACCATATTCATGGTTCTGCTGCAGCTGTGGCTCCAGCTCCTACTCCCACCAAACAACCGGTATTCTAATTTACAGCTTTTCCATCTGTGTGTAGTTTAGATTTATATGTGATTTTTTTTATTATCAGGTAAATCTGGATAAATTGTTTTGGTCTAAGCCTTGTTCCTTGGCTTTGCCCCTGGATTCTCCCCACACAATTTAGGAGCCACAGTATGAGGGCATTAAGCGTTTTATTCTCCAGCTCATGTTGTTTTATAGTAAACACTAAACAAAGCAAGTCTATTCGAGACGCAAATGTGATATATCGGCGAGTCGTTTTGCAGGTTGATAAACCTGCCATATATGGTTAGTTCTTTCTCGTTTTAGTTTTCATGGTTCTATTGATTCTTTACTCTAGAATCTATAAACTTTACTAGAGATCATATTAATAGTATAGCTTTCTGTAGTAAATAGATTATAATATAGGAACTGTGGGAATGGTAATACCAGTAGAAATGATCATTGATTCTGAAAGTTGTTACCTTCTTCAAATTTGATATCCAATGGACACATGCTAGGCTGTAAAGTAAATTTGTGAAGATAAAAAAATAATCTGTCTCAATTTAGGTAGTGACGTTTGATACATGCTATTTGAGTTATTTTATTGTGTCTCCACATTCATATAGTGGTAATAAATCAAACCATTGTCTTTCTTGTGCGGTATTTAACTTGGAGAAAACCTTTAGAATGACATTCGCATTGCTTGTACTTCACATGTGGTTTGTTCTCCGTTGCAAAAGAAGAGGGTAAGGAAGGCGTTGAGCTTGGTCAATATCTGTATGAGATCTACAATCATGACGTAGAGCTGAGAGTATCCAAAGCTGGGGTCTGTGCTCATTTTTCTTATATGAACCCCAATTAATTTGGGGCTCTATCTCATATATACTTTGTTGCATCTATGACCTTTATTCTCTTCCTAGTTATTATTATTATTTTTTCATCCGTTGTAACTGGAAAAATTATCAGTCTTAAAGAGATGCCTAAATCCCTGATCAGTTCATAGCTGATCTAGGAGAATATTGAAGGCCAATCAAATTATCTTGAACATATGTCTGATTTCTCTTTTTTGGGATATGTTTGAAAATTATATAAATTCATTAAGATATAATCGAAATTCTTATGTTGTTTGCTGAAAAATGTTCAGCATCAATAAGTTCTCAAAAGATAAGACCATAGATAATCAGTTCTTATGTGTGCCCTATTTGTGTGCTGTTATAGTTCACAACTGGACCCCAAAACTTATTTTAGGTTTCCATCTCTTATCTCATCCATCAGTGTGCTGGCAATGTTGACTACAGGCGTACCTAGCTATGAAGCAGTTTAATATCAAAAGAGCATGTGCAATGCTTCATCATCATTAGCTTTCTATTATACTACAAATGCATTGTAATTGTCTGCTTTTGCAACTATTGCTTACAAATTTTTGTAATGCAGGTTAACTTACGGTTGTCAAAATGGATGAAGGAGTCGGAGAAAATATTCTATGGAAATATTGTTGCTTATGATGCTGCCATGCTTCCAGAGGCTAAACAGGATGAACTACAAAATGTAAGATGGAGGTAAACCATTTTATAAAAGTCAGTCTTGGCATTGCATTTGACATGAAGGGGACTGTCAGTGCTCATATCTTACTATTTCATTGTCATGGTAGAAATATTTGTGGGTAGATTTTTTGTGATTACTAACTGTCTAATTTATTGTAGTCTGGTGTTTATAATTAGGCAGTGACTTGGGTAATAGCCAGGGGTCCTTGGGTGAGGTAGGCACTTATGCCTGGGCAAAGTTTTTTTTGGGTACTTACCTTTTTAACAATGATATGCACTGGAGTTTTTTGTGCTGCAGGAATATCTTTTCTGATGATGGTACTTCAAAGCCAGATGATGCTGCATTACGGGCAGTTCAGGCATGTATTCAACTTTGCTTTTGTCACTGTGTTTGTCATCCTTGCTGGATGCAAGGTCTCCATTCATTTTACTGATGTGATAGATATAACAGATAAAATAATGAATCTCCTGGCTAGGATCTAAATAAATGTCATTTTTGGAATATAATACATCAATCCTCCATTACAAAGAGATAAATGTTTCTTTCCAGTAATGAAGGAAAGTTCGTCATGGTCACTGCTATATGATCAGGTGTAGTGAACTATCAGTTCACTCATAGAGCTGTTGTTTATTTCCGTATTAAACAGCATACTTTGTCAATCGTTGTGGTACCAATTCCCATACAAAAGGGGTTACTGAAAATGCCATCTTTCTATCTTTCTGTGTGTGGACCAACTTCTATCTGCAAATCATTCCACCTTCTCTGTGATAATTCTAAGATTTTATTGAGCCTTTTCTCTCCTAAAGCCATATAATTACTGTATCTTTTTCATCTCTGCAGGCTATGACAAGGTATGTCCGTCGGGAAGTCAGTTGCCTATCTTTAACTGGTAAGTCAACATTCCTCTTTTCTCTTGATAGTATAATTTTTTTGTTGTGCTGTTAATTAAGTGTGTTGCCTAGCTATATTTAATTGACAAAATACACTCACCCTCTTGCATTTCAGTAACCTGTAAATGGTTGTTCTTATAGTTTTCTGGTGGGCACTAGTAATTTTCAATATTTAATTTGCTACTATCTGAACTACTGAAAAAGTTGTCCTTGGTATATTTATTTGACAAATTTGAGAGTTCATGGGCAGGCAAAGAAGCTATCTTTTCTGGGAATTTCATGTTCACCCCATTAGAGATTATAGGATCTGGTCCATTGAGAAAGTAAAATGGCTAAGAATCCATTAATGCATAATGGAGATCATGTTGAAAGCATTCTCGCAGAAGGAGAAAGGGATTGTAGTCTCTTCTGTTAATTTATCATTGTAAAGTGGGTGCATTGTCATCTGAAGCGACTACTTCGTTATAAGCTTACATTCAAGTGGTTCTGCGATAAAGTGATCAAGTTGATGATTTGTTCAAAGTTGTTGATTGCTTAACTGTATTACAATTGAATTCGATTTTTATTTTTTGGGTGAAAAGCCCCGATGAGAAATATACAACACTTGAATTCTATAATAAGGTGGAAGAATGGTGCATTTAGTAGTGTTAGTTATTTCAAATTATAGCAGTTAACTGAAACAATGTCCAATACTCTGTTTCATTTTTTTTTTTTTTTTCTTTTTGTACTCATTTTGGAGAACATTATGGTCGTTGGTTCTTCTTAGATTAAATTCTTGGCAGCGAGAGTGGCTGAATAGTGTAATCATGCAACATTTGATGAATCTTCCTGGGCAAAATTGGTGGTTGTCTTAATTCTCAGAGTGGATACTGTGCTTGCATATAAATATATGTACAGGTGATGCATTTTGTGCATTTTTCTTGCGAGTAAACCACTTTTTCCCACCTAAGGTTTGCCTTAATTATACTTTTTCATCCAAAACGTTTCAAAATACTATTTTTCACCTAAAGTTTATATTCTGTTGATATCCAAAATCGATTCTGGTCGATTTTTGGGTGAAAGTGTCATTAAGGCAAACAATCGTTTACTCTTTTTCTTGCCTAAAATTGTGAGCAATGCTAATACTATGGTCCAATAAAATTAAGGTTGTGATGTATTTACAATATGAACGAGTCAGGTTTTACCATTCCCCCATTTGACACTGTAATAACTAGTAAAATATAGTTATGTGTTGTATTTGCTGAATTATATAAACATATTAAAATCAGCTAACTAATAATATCATTTTAATTAATAACATGATTTTGATTTATTATTCCTAACCAAAAAAGTTTCTTAGTTTCTTACAACTATTTGAAGTTAAATAATTAAAAGAAAATTTTCTATTTAGTAATTAATTTTCAGCAGCATGAAAGGAATTATTTAGAAAATTGGAATGATAAATGTAAAAATTCTAAATGTTATAAAAAATAGTATAATGCTTAACACACAGATATTCAGAAAAAGCACACAGATGGTACAGGGCGATGGTAACTGTCCTGAAATGAGCAACGAACAATGAGTATCTCCATCAGTCTTTATTTTTCTCAAACTTCTAACTTATTTGAATTGCCAATTCCACTTTCCAATCTTAAAGTAAGATAATTTCTCCTTCTCTCCCTTACCATTTTGTGTACTGTTTTAATTTCAACTCCATTAATTTCCATGCAACATTTATCTTTCTAACACCAAATTTTCTTGCAGAGTAAGAGTAGAACCTCAACAACTGTAACTCTACCTTCTCAAACCACCCAGAAATCAAATGCAGCCTCGAGAACCAGAATTCCCTTTTCGACAGAAGCTAAAGAACCTGACAAAAAGTCTCAAATCCAACCCTTAATTGACCTCCTACGTGACTCTGTAAATGAAGGGTCTTTGAACCAAGCTAAAACTGTTCATGGGTTTGTGTTAAAATCCAGTTTTTCTGACAAAGAACTGTTAATTTTGTTGAATCACGTAGCTTATGCCTATTCAAAATGCTCGGATTTTAGTTCCGCATTTCGGGTATTTGATAAAATGTCTCAAAGAAACATATTCTCTTGGACTGTCATGATTGTTGGCTCAACAGAGAATGGCTTTTTCTTGGACGGGTTTCAGTATTTTTATCAAATGCTTAATTTTGGAGTCTTTCCTGATACTTTTGCGTATTCTGCAATTCTGCAGACATCTATTGCTTTAAAATGTATTGAATTGGGTAGAATGGTGCATGCCCAGATTGTTATAAGAGGCTTCCATTCTCATACTTTTGTTGCTACATCTCTTCTTAACATGTATGCAAAGTTGGGGAGTATTGAGGACTCGTATAAGGTTTTCGATATCATGACAGAACATAATGAAGTTTCTTGGAATGCAATTATTTCGGGTTTTACATTAAATGGACTGCATTTGGAATCATTTGATCATTTCCTTCAAATGAAGAATGAAGGAATCCGGCCGAATATATATACAATAATTAGTGTTTCAAAAGCCGTAGGGCAGTTAGGTGATACTGACAAAGGGAAAGAAGTTCAGTCTGTTTCCTTCGAGTTGGGTATGGAGTCTGATGTGCAGGTGGGGACAGCTCTCATTGATATGTACTCGAAATGTGGATCTCCACATGAAGCAAGAGCTGTTTTTGACTCGAATTTTATTAATTTTGGGGTGAACTTGCCATGGAATGCCATGATTTCCGGTTATTCACAAAATGGTTGTAGCCAAGAAGCTTTGGAACTCTATGTAAGAATGCGTCATAATGATATAAAATCGGATGTCTATACATATTGTAGTATATTCAATGCCATTGCTGATTTTAAGTATTTACAGTTTGGGAAGGAAGTTCATGGGGTGGTTTTGAAGTCTGGCCGTGATATGATGGTTGTTAGTGTTTGTAATGCAATTGCTGATGCATATGCCAAATGTGGAGCTCTTGAATACGTGAAAAAGATTTTTTACAGGATGGAAGAGAGAGATATGGTGTCATGGACAACTCTGGTGACTGCTCACTCTCAATGCTCGGAGTGGGAGGAAGCACTGGCTATTTTTTCACAGATGAGGGAAGAAGGTTTTAGACCAAACCAGTTTACCTTTTCCAGTGTCCTGGTTTCTTGTTCAGGCCTTTGTTTTCTGGAGTGTGGACGGCAAATTCATGGTCTTTTGTGCAAGGCTGGGTTGAACACGGACAAGTGCATAGAGAGTGCTCTGGTGGACATGTATGCAAAATGTGGCAGTGTAAGTGAGGCAGAGAAGGTCTTTGAAGGGATTTCTAACCCTGATACTGTCTCATGGACAGCTATGATATCAAGTTATGCCCAACATGGTCTCTCAGAGGATGCCCTTAGACTCTTTAGAAAGATGGAGCAACTGGGTATGAAGCCTAATTCTGTTACTTTACTTTGTGTTCTGTTTGCTTGCAGCCACGGAGGACTGGTAGAGCAAGGATTAAATTTTTTTCAACAAATGGAACAAAATTATGGTCTGGTGCCAGAGATGGAACATTATGCTTGTATTGTTGATCTATTTGGTCGTGTGGGTCGTTTGGATGATGCAATAGAGTTTATAAGAAAGATGCCAATCGAGCCCAATGAAATGGTCTGGCAAACCTTGCTGGGAGCATGCAGAGTTCACGGCAATGTTGAGTTGGGTGAAATTGCTGCAGAGAAGGTCCTTTCAGTTAGACCAGACTCAGCTACCTATGTTCTATTATCCAATACGTATATTGAGAGTGGGAGTTTTGAAGATGGCCTTACTCTGAGAGAAGTAATGAAAGAGAAAGGTGTGAAAAAGGAACCAGGATATAGTTGGGTTTCTGTACAAGGTAAAGTCCACAAATTTTATGCAGGCGATCAACAACATCCTCAAAAAGATGACATCTATGCCAAGTTAGAAGATTTAAGGGAGAAGGTTAAGTCCATGGGTTATATCCCAGACTTGAATGTTGCTTTGTGACTATATTTAAGACAAATTTTAGAAATATAAACTTTCAAGTAGGCTCTAATTATCATTTGATCAAAGATTATCTAAAAGAAGATGTATAATAGAACATCTTGGCATTGGTTCCACCGGAAACAACATGCATATGGGTGTGTAAGTGTAACCATCTATTTATGATGGCAAGTTTAGGCCACAATCTTGCCATCTCTTCAAAAACGCGGAAACAGACTTAGAAAAGGACTTGATGAATATTTTATTCTTTCTTCTCACAGCTTCTTGAAACAACACAACCAACTTACACATAATTTACTAAGCCTTCTGTTATGTTCAATTAATGCATTTTAGCTATATGATTAGAAGGGCGGTTCAAATTAGGGGTATTCAAAACCGGTTAACTGGTTTTGTGAACTGAACCGGTTTATTAGTTTAGGAATTTTCTTGAACTGAAACAAAACCTATTAAGGGGAAAATCGGTTTTAATTTAATATTTAATATTTAATATTATTTCTTTAATTTAATATTTTTATAATAAACTGGATTTTTTATTTTATATTTTAATTTAATACTTTTTTATAATAAACCGGCCAGTAAAATCGGTTTCAGTTAACAGTTTCTTATATTCTCCCAAACCTGTAACTGAACCGAAAATTCAGTCTCTAATTTCTTTAAACCGAAACCGAATCAGTTTCGGATAATCGGAAATTCGGTTTGGTTTTTTGCATTTTTTTTAACACCCCTAGTTCAAATCAAAGGCTTTAATTCATATCCCTAATACTTATAGATATGTTTGAAGGTCAGGTAACTTTCATCAACAACTCGACTTGTGAAATTTCTTCATTAAATTTTATACATTATTGGAATTTCTTTATATTGAAAAAAGAAAGGTAAGAAAAATTATATATTTTTTTAATAAAAGGTAATTTAGAAAAATGAAGGAATAGAAAAGGCAATTCAATTTACTGCTTTCTTCAACATGAGCATATGAGGAAAAATCCACGAAACCAATGAGTATCTTCGCTTCGGCCTTTATTGATTGCAATTTCAATGGGTTGTGAAAAAATAAACAAAGTAATTGAGATTAAGTTGAACGAAGATAAAAGGAAATTGCTTGTGTGAGGCCGTATTGATTGCAATTTCAATGGGTTGTGAAAAAATAAACAAAGTAATTGAGATTAAGTTGAACGAAGATAAAAGGAAATTGCTTGTGTGATATTATTCCTCTTTGCACATCGTTGAATAAGTGTTACATCATTTCTTGTGTCTTTTCCTAACAATATCTAGCAATCACATTTAGTCTTGCTTGCTTATGAAAACTTTTGAGGAAGTATCTGAGAAGCTTAGTTTCTTATGATAAAGCTTATGAAATTTCCTGGTACATTATTCTACCTGTTTTTCTTGATTATTCTCTATCTATAGATGCGCTCCTGTAATTGGGGTGCCAAAAGAAAATCCTGGAAAAAAAAAAAAAAGCATATGAACAATGCACAACTCAATACACCTTCATTGAAAATTGGAATCATTTATCAACTTTTTATTTTTACTTTATTTTAGTGTATTCCATGTTTTGTGCTTGCTGTGAAAAGGGTTCATTCATTTGGCCTGCTTGAATTTGTTTCATCAACTATTTTAGAGGGCAGCTGTAAGAATATATGATTTCAAGCTTACAAGGTTCAGACAGCTAATGCTATGGTAGAATATCCTTCTATCAAACAAATCTCTTCGGCTAAAGGCAATAATTTCAATTGAAGTTCCTCAAGGACTGGTGTTTCTAGATATGTCAAACAAGCAAGATATTTGCAGAGACATCACCCCTCCATATATAAGCTTGATGGGGTAAGTTTTCCCTTGATGCTCTTTTTGTTTTTGTAAACAGTGTAGAAAAACTGAATAATATCCTAAAATTGTTTATGTTTTGTTACACTGGGATGTTATGCAGACAAGTTTGCTACCTCATTCTCCCCGCAACTCCAGACCCGAGAACGCCATGGATGCCGGTGGCTTCACAGATTTGGAACCTGTCCTGTTTTACCCGTTTGCGTGAAGAAAGATTCGGAAAACAAAAAGAGTCCACAGAGGAAGAGGCCTTTGAGAGCTAAAGATTTATTTAAGAAAGCATTTTCCTGGTGGCACCAGAACACTTGCCACATGAAAAATAAAAAAGAGTCCAAAAGCAATGTTTACCATCACTTATTGCTCATCTCCTCATTGTTGGCATCTATAACGCTCCACACAGCCTTAAAGATCCAAGGATACAGAGTGGAAGAAAGCTATGAATACAATTCTAGCATAAATGATGCTGTCTGCCAGACTGAAATCAATATTATTTCTATTCAAACTGGTGATCATTATGTTTAATTCCATCGCCTTTTTCTTATCGGTAGCATTGCTGATGAGACTCTTCAATGAGCTTCACTCAGGCCATTGTTACAAGTTTCAGTATTTGCAATGGTTGGAGCTTACCTGTGCACAATATTGGACCCTTTCAAGCCTCGCTCGTGCTATCCTAGCCCCTATTGATATGTTGGAATAGCACCCAGCGAAGCTCCTCTTTTGTGTAGAAATAAAAGTGTTCCAGCCTACGGGCATGTAGAAATATTATCAAATATATGTAAAAGTATGAAGTACTCGTATGCCTTAAGCTTGATAATTAGTACTTAAAACTGATTTACAGGATATTTTGCTGCTGTTCAATATTACTTCAACATCCTCTACCAAGCAAGGTGCAGGAAGAGCAAATGTGAGCATTGAATTCACATAGATTATAAATAATTAAACTTCAATTCTATATCCATTCGGAGATTAAAATCATAATCACAATCTCAATCTCAATACACAATGATTTTTTTTAAGTGAAAACTAGATTCAGAGAAAATATTAAGAACTTACTAAGTCACCTCAATGAAAAAATCAATCAATGATGGAGATACCAAATTCACAATATTACTTTCTCAATGTTCACTAAGGCAATATTTTGAGAAAAGGTCAGTGTTCATGGCTTTTCTTCCTTGTCCGTAAGTTCACTTGAGCAAAAAATACAGTTGAATCCTAGAGAAAAAAAAAAAAAAAACCTTTAAATGTAGCTTTTATCTTGCATTCATATGATATTCTTTACATTTAATTTAATTGTACTTTTGTAGCGGTAGAAAGATCAAAGAAAAGAGAAGTGAAGGGTGACTGAGAGCGGAGGAAACAGAAACTTATTTCAAACTTCTCTTTTCTTTTGCTATTTAACTTACAGACCGGGGTGGATCTAGAGTAAACTTCAGCTATTACCCCTGAGTTTTCTGAAACTGATGATGCGTGCCAGATTTTTGGACTTTTCATCAATGACATCCTCATGTTGTTCCAACAATATACATAAACAGTGGCGGAGACTAATTGTTAAGCACAAATTTGTGTCAAAAATTGTATCACAACTTAATCCCTTAAAAAAAAAAAAAAAAAATTAGTTTAAACACTTGATTGATCCAAGTTCTACCATGCTTCCACGTCTTCCAGAACTATTGCTCCTGTAACTGGTTCTTCTCATCCACAAACAATTGACAAGCCGGCATTTTCAAACACAGCAAACTGTATTTTGCCAAACACAGTATTGCAACTCCAGAGAGAGTAAAGGCTATGGATGATGACGACAACAAAGCTATACGGAAATGCTGAAGATCCCAATTCTTACAGATAATTTGGGCGTGATCTTGTCCACTAACATAGTATATACAATGCATGTGCAGATCACCACAAAAAGCAGAATGCTTCTAAATGGCAGTGGCCATATGAGTATCACAATGATAAACATGGTAGTCATGAATCCAGCTGAGTTGAAAACCATGAGGTAGAAAACCGTTGGCAATCTACCAAATATCACATCCTTAGCCTCCAAAGTTTCGCCTGCAAAATCTTTGAGAAAAGCTTCAGGCAAATTGCATGTTACTGTAAGGCTGCTGCAGCTATCAATCCTAGAACCGTCAATAAACTTTCTTGTCTCTGAAGTCAACTTAGAGGCATACTGATCTGTTGGGAAACATATTCTTGATCATGTGCAGCAGCAGCATCCTTAAGGATCTTGTAGATTTTTTGTGTCTTATCTTGAATCAGATGGACACACATCTAATGTGTTTGTCCTTGTTGTTCCTGAACTGAGTAGAGATGCATCGCATTGGAACAGTCACGGACCAACAGCTTCACAGTCTGCAAAGTATTATTAACTCTTAGAACTTGCAAGATTAGGTAATTTAAAACACTTGAGTTTCATGGTGAGGATATACTGAATCGTTTACTTGATGATTATTCACTGTAGCGATGTGCAATACTGTGTCACCGTTTTCATCTTTACTATTCAGGAGATTCTTAGTTTGAAATTTTTAATTTCCTCCAGCAGGACTTCAAAGCATCACATTTGGAGTTCTTTGCTGCAAGGTGAAGAACCGTCTTGATTGGAAGTCAGAGTTTCAAGAGACTGGGGATTAAGAGTCCCCAATAATCATCATCTTGCCATCACCTCCACAGCAAACATGATGCATGGCTGTGTAACCATCCTCGTCACTTTTAATGCTAGCTATTTGAGGCCGCAGTTTTGCCAACCCTTCAGCAACATGAAAGCTTCCTTGTTTATAGGCAATGAGAAAAGTTTCTGCAGCCACTTGATCCTCCATCATCCTCCAATGATTCTCGGTGTCCGTGAGTAACGACTTGAGTTCATCAGCATCATCTCTTCCAATGGCTTCCTGAAATGAATCCAAGTTAAACATAATTAGTACCCCTTGTCTCTTCCCAACCCTCCCTTCAGAACTGTTGTTTTCATCATACTGGGGCCATATCCCTTTTTTTTTTTTTTTTTTTTTTTTTTGGGTTTTAGTGCTCGAATGTATTCACTAGGTCGGATGGCTTGAGGTGAAAGCTTTTATATAACACTGCACCTCTATCCCCTGTCTTAATTATGTTCAGATGTTCCAATGTAAAAAGGCAAAATGAAAATCAGAGGATAATACTAAGAAAACAATACCACACTTGCAAATTACTAGACATATTTTTTCTTGTCGAGTCATGTCATATATTTAATTATATTTATTAGTTTTTTAACTTTTACTTATCTATGATTTTTATATCAAACCAAAACACAATTACATCAAACAAATTAAAATTAAAAAATGCAGCAAATTCATACTTGCAAAATAATGATTAGGATAATGGCCTCTATCTAATTTTTTGATTTACTTGTCAGGCCATGCTAATTCCCCAATAATAATTTATAAATATTGAAATTTCTCTAAATTGGGTGGTCGTCCAAATTTCTGTGAAATGAAAGAGAATTTCGGGAGATGTTAGGAAGATACAGGAAACTTCCCTCTTGTTCCTTTTTTTTTTTTTTTTTTTTCTTCTTTGTGATTATTGATCAAGTGATTTTGCCCAATTACTTACTAAAATTTCGGTGAAATGAAAGAGAATTTCTGGGAGATGTTTGGAGATACAGGTAAACTTCCCTCTGTTCCTTATTTTCTAATTGATCAAGTGATTTTCCTCAATGACTTACTAAAACTTTGCTGAAATGAAAGAGAATTTCTAAGAGATGTTTGGAAGATACAAGTAAACTTCCCTCTTGTTTCTTTTTTGTGGTTATGATCAAGTGATTCCCCATGACTTACTAAAACTTCGGTGAAATGAAAGAGAATTTATGGAGATGTTTGGAAGATACAGGTAAACTTCCCTCCTTTTTTTTTTTTTTTTTTTTTTTTTTTTTTTTTTTTGATCAAGTGATTTTCCCAAATGACTTACTAAAATAATTGGGATAAGACTATTCTGATTCAGTGCCTAAGCAAAACGTTCCTATCTGAAGAACATAATTTACTAAATATGGTGTTCTCACTGCAGAATTTAAAAGGGTAGGATTATAATTTACTTAATATTATTGATTATAAATCTAAGGATGATTCTCCCCTCTCAATTGCAACATGAAGAACAAGCCTTTAGCTTATACTTAAACTAAAGACAACTAAACTATCCATTTATAAGAAGAAGACCATACTTATACATTTCCAGGTAATTACTAGTCAACCAATAAACCCCAGGAGCAGTTTTTGCTTTAGCTTTATTAGCTTGTCAGAAGCAAAGATTAGGTGAATACGCGGCATGTACTAGCACTACCAATAAGTGAACATCACTAATTACTTTGAAAATCTTGCTGGGTAAAAACTGGATAAGTGTCCCTTTTGTCCTTTGATTCCGGTAGATTTCAGGAAAATCCCTAGCTATTTCTCCCTTTCATATCAAACCTCGCCTTGAAAATCCCCCTTTGATTGTTGGTAATTCATGGAAATTCCATAGCTATTTCTCCTTTTCATATCAAACCTTGCCTTAAAAATCCCCCTTTTGTCCTTGATTGCTTGGTAGAGTTCATGGAAAATCCCTAGCTATTTCTCTTTTCATATCGTAACTTGCCATGAAAATCCCTAGCTTATCTCCTTTCATATCATAAACTTGCCTTGCAATACACGAAGTAGACAAAAAAAATTTCCTGCAAAACTGACATGTGAGGGAGCTTTCCTGCAATGGTCACATTAAATAAGGCAAAGACCTACATGAAACTATATTCCTCTGACTTACTGCAACCTTTGCTCTAAATCTGTTTTAGTCCTCACTCTTAACATCCTCTTTCATATACCAAAGTGAGTCATTTTCCCAACCTTAACTTAAGAGCCATAGTCATCGCAGAGGTTTGAAGACTCTGTGAAAATATGCTGGAACCAGGTAAGGATATTGGTTATGAAAACTGAGTCAGGAGTACAGAAGAGAAAGGTTGATCATTCTTGCTGTACCAGTAAGAAGGAAAGATAGATTTGGCTTTTCTTTTTTGGGAAGAGTCTTGGATATCATCCATCTGCTTTTCGCCAATATTATATATGGCCAATCACAAGGGATGTCATGCTTGAGCTTGACCCTGCAGAGAGTTCTTCAAATCGACATTTAGAACTGCGATAGAATGGTTGAAATGAAAGCAAAAGTCTTCACCTCAATGGAAGTCTAAAATCACTGTGCTCATCAACTGAAGACTGGAAGAGTAGGAACACAATATAGAAGCAGAACCCAAGTTCGATGAGGTGGAAGGTCTTGTCAAACAGGAACAGCAGGTGAATCTATCAAGATAGAGACCTGAATCGGAAATGGGCAGCCTTACACGACTCTGCATTCTTGTTCATCTTCACGGAGAAAAGTTCGATACAGTGCTCTGGCAATCCTTCGCATTTTGGCAAAGATATTGATGATGAAAAGGTGCTCTATACTTATCATTGCCTTTATTTTATTAATAGTATCAATTCTAGTTCAAATTAGTGCAAGCCAAATAGAAACTCTGCACTATTCATGTTACTAATCCCATGCGTCTTAAAAAGAACAATTAATTTTTTGATTTTACTATGTTTGGGAGAATCAGATACTGTGAATATTTTAAAAATATTGAGGTTAAATAAGAAGAGGATGCAAACATAAATATTAGACTCATAATATGCCACTAACCATTAGCGTCTGTTGTTATGTCGCTAATATCTTTTTGTTTCGTTTTTTCATTTAACTACTCAAATTGTTTAAAGCTAACTTCTTTTAGGTACATGATCATATCTCGTTATATGGATTGCATATTTTCCTATGTGATTGTGAAAACATCTACAATTTCCACTCTATTGTACAGGAAAGATCCGAGGGAGATGAAAATATCTTGCCTCTTTGTGTGAAACCCCTTACATTTATGCTATTCCTTACAATGCGTCAACCAGTTAATTTTGTTTCCATTTAGTTACTAATATTTGTTAGATACAGTAGCCAGTGAATTGACGTGATGTTCTATAGAAGAATGAGGTAAATTGCACTCAATTGTCAAAGAATGAAGGAAAGGAAAAAACAGTGAAGTGACAAATTTCTGAGAAAAGGAAAAAGTTCCCATGATCAAACTAGAAGCTTAAAATTGAGGATTCTGCAGTCCTTTGGTCCATTACTTGAAAATGGAGCCATGATTGTTGCGAATTTAAGATGAAACCATAAACCTGTTAACTTGTTAAAAGGGAGTATGTGAAACAGAAAGAAGCAATAAAGATGGATCACAACTGTACTCTGAATTTGACAAGGGGAGGGCTGTACCCTGTAGGGGCACCGTTCTGAGAATATAGGAGCTACGAAGAAAAAGGAAGGCTGAATTCTCTTTAGCAATTCAGTGAGATGCAAAAATAAAGCTGTTAAACTTCAAACTCCTATAAAGGAATTAGAAAGCACGAAATGAAGAAGAATAAAGAGAAGTCAGAAATTTCTGTTATAGCTTGGAGTCAGAGACAACCATCCAAGAGGCTTCAAAAGTTTTTGGTTGTCCATGCAGCTCATATGGAAAGAGAAAATTTTGGCTAGATGAGACTGGTGACAAGTGCTAATTCCAAATATGGTTCAAGATCTATTGGCCACAGTCACCAACTCTTGATGTGTAATTACTCCATGAAAAAAACTAAATGAAATACGGAGGAAGACAAAGTTGAAAAAAATTTGTCCCAGAAAAGGAAGAGCAACAATATCATGACATGAAAGATCAGACTTCATCAATTGTCTGCAACATCAAGCTGTTCATCACCTTCATAAGGGTTTACAAGTTCCGACTCCTCATCACATCATCATCATCACCTCTTAAAAAAGAAATAACAATTCTCCAGCAAACTTGAGGGTGCTAGAACTTATAAATGGGTACAGAAGAAAGTACCTAAACCCAAGTTGGGTCTGGGACAAATCTATCTTGGTATTATTCTTTTTACAAATCCGAGTCCGAGTCTAGGTGTATTCTTCCTAGACTAGACCCGTATCAAAAAAAAAAAAAAAAAACTGTTCCCATTACAAATGAAAAAAGAAAAAATTCCTTTTTTTCTTTTAGAATCCAGGTTTGAGTTTGAGCAAACCTGATTCAGGCTCCATTGTCACCTTAAAACCCTTCTAAATTTAGTGGCTCTGAATAAGGAAACTTAGGCAATTGATTAAGGTCCCACCAAGGTTGAAACTCAAGTCATTTGAAAAAAAAAAAAAAAAAAAAAAAAAAAAAAAAAAAAAATTTCTACATTATATCTTGTTTTGCAGTATTATCATCAATTTACAATATTAACTTTTTCCTTTCTTCTTTAGTTACCTATTATGCTTCAAAAATCAATGTTTTTAATGGAAACCTAACTTAAACTTTCATCCAATGTCTAAAGTTTCAGAATTTTAACTTGTTAGTGTTTCAGGATTTCTTTGAGAAAGAAACAGATGAAGTGAATATATGCTTTAATTAAAGTTAAATTATCAATATTTCTTAGAGTGGTGATTCATTTTGTTGAAGATATTGATATTGTTCATGTGAAGAAAAAGTGAAGAAAGATGTTTTGATAATGCAAGTGCACCTTCTTTAGGCTAATTAACGAAGTAATGATATGGGACTTTCATGATACTGATTATTTCATACCTCTTTACATGTACTTATGTAGACAGACTTTTTCGCTGAACTTCTCATCGAACCTGGTCAAGCCGTTTGCATATTGCTGGGAGGATAAATGGCTGCTCCATGTATGCTTGTTCGTGCAGAAGGAAAGCCTGGAAAATTGTCATTTCAAGAGTAAGAAACCACGGAAAAAAAAATAAAAAAAATGGACACAACAAAAATCAACCTCCCATGATTTTTGCACTATTATTCAATTGCTTGGTTGTACAGAATATCCAACCATTGAACCCTTGTCATGGAGAAACCGTTCAAAATTCATTTGGAGCTGCTGGAAGGCTGACTGCTCTACATAGTTTAAGAAGCTAGATATTCATCAAACTTTCAAGGTTCCCAGTATACTGCTTGATGGGTTGGTTATTATTTTATCATTGCCAAAGTATATCTATATCTAAGGTCCATTTTGGCACCATGCTCTTGTTTGTAGTCCAAGAGATATACGTAGAATAAGTGAAATACAATAAGAGTGGCACTTATCTTAGAAGAAAGATAATGCAGGAGGAATGTCACAATAAGATTAACATGTGAATAGAAATCTATATGAACTATGCCATATTTACCACTAGTTCATGAGAAAGAGGTCACACAGACAATGATCTAAATGCCTTCAATTTTTATCTACTTTTATTTCGTTACAAAAATATTGTTTTCCATAGCATCTGACTCTTTTGTATGATGCAGACAGCAAAAGGTTTGCTGGCCCAAACACCAAATAGCATGGATGCTTGTGATTTCACAGCTGTGGACATCCACCGTTCTTGCTGCATGGGAAGAAAGATATGGAAGTTAAAATACTCCACCAAGGGCTTGGGCTCGGGAGCTACAGATGTATTGAGAAGACATTTCAGTGGTGGCACCCACCACCAAATCATCAAACACCCAGACCATGAAAGACCATAAATCCTTAGCAATTCCCATCATCTATTGTACTGACATCTACACTGTAGCAACTGTAGCTTGCATGCAGCATTAAAGATGTCAAGATGCAGAGTGGAAGAGGCTACGACTCTAGAATAAATTCCATCTTCCAGACTGAAAACATTAACGGTTATCATTTTGTTCAACTCTCTCACATTCTTCCTATCGGTAGCATTGATGATGAGACTCTTCAATAAGCTTCCTTTCAGGCCATGGTTGCTAGTTTCACTATTTTCAATGATTGGTGCTACATGTGCATAATGATGTACCCTGTGAAGCCTTGCACATTCCATCCTAGGCCCTCCTTTCATTTCGTTGGCAGATGCCAGATGCCGCCTTCAACTTTTTAATTTTGTGCTCAATGTTCTTCACATAGAACGGGCTCAAGATGGCTGATGGTGTTTTTCCCAACAAATGTTCAGACATCTCACATGCCTATAGGATTGGAAGAAGTATTCAAGATATGAATAGCCAGGTAATCTCACTGTTATGAATAATAATTGAGCAGTTATTTTGCTGCAGTTCAGCTTCAGCATTCTCTGTAAGTTGCAGCGAGATTACTAAAGGACCATTGCAATTAAGAATCCATAATTCAAAATAAGATCAATTAGACGTAATAATAATACTAGCTAGTCAAGTATAACTGTGATTGCTGTATCTTCAAGATTACAAACATAAAGGCTGGAAAGCCAGCAAAAGTGGCCTTTTCAACTCCTTGTCATATTGCAAAATTGAGGGAGGAGCCAGGAGGAGACATAAAAAGGATAGAAGGAGACAAACAAACAGCACCATATCAAGCAATTAAACAGGTAACTCAAAACTGAACACTTTCATCAAATAATATTCAATAGTTACATTCAAACCAAAGCACGCGCATAGAAACTATTAATGAACTTTTTTTAATAGGAAAAATCAATATACATTCTTTAAAAGAACTTTAACTTTCTTTTTGGTGGTCCAAATGAAAATAATGATCAATAACACTTATAGTCACTTGCAAACTTTCTTAAAAGATAAACAAAAAAAAAAACCCTTTCTGTCAGTATTTGGAAATCAAAAAAAAATTTCCAGAATAGAATGTTGGGAGTCCAATCATTAATGCAAGCAAGATATCCACATATCAAAAAGACTATACAAAGATACTCAGATCAATGTATTCAACATTGGCACAACCTGGAGAAAATCTCAACCTGATAACTCACGTACTGTCAATCTGATAACTTTCCCATAAATGAGGATTCTGAACACAAACAACTTTACAAGGAGGATTTGAGAGATGAAAAGCTAATTAATGCCTAGAAAACTCTTGAATTTTTACCAACCGCTCAAGGAAATGTAACAAATGGTTTCCTTCTAGTGATGCAACCACGCTCTTGAAAGAAATAAATAGTAACTCATGATAAGATTTCGAAATTCTTAAAGTTGAGAATGGTTCACAAATACAAGGAAATTAAAGGGAGAACTTGCAGGCATATATTTTAGAAGTATATTATCATAACCTGTGTTAATCAGACGAGAACTTCTGCAAGATATGCAAGATAAGGCCTGAGACCATGTGATGCAGGACAATAAGATAAACAACAACAAAAAGGAGAGAAAGAAAGGGGAGAAAGTCATACAGAAAGAGATGGAAGAAAATTATGGACCAATAAGCAATGGGGGAAAATAACAGATAGAAAAGAACAAAAAATTAACTTTTCTATCATCGTCAGATCTCCTTACAATGACAACGTAAACCCCTTGTTACAGTGGTTAAAACAACATAATATAGAAAATAAAAATATCTTACCTAACTAAGAAAACTAATTAAATAAACTCCAAATAAAGATAATTGAATAAGATATTAGATACTCTAAATCTGATGAAAAAATAAAATTCTTTAACTAAACAATTTCCTAGAATAAGTAGCTTCTAGATTCTACATTACTATGGCTATCATGTAAAGGTAGCAGGCGAAGTATTGAAAGTAAGAGAGCCAAATACTAGGAGCACAATAAATTTGAGACTCATGAATACTCAAATCAACATTTCAGTTTATAGCATCATTGTATCATGCTTCTTGTAGTGCAGACAGACAAGCCATGTGGTTATCTTTCCACCTAGGAGTGCTCAACACTCTATCACGTAGTGAAAGAAGACCCAGCAAAATGGATTTAAAAGGAGCGCAGCAACTGTCTGGATGCTGAAGTAAAAAATTGGAGTCTCAGCAGCTCACAAGAGGTTTGTTATAGAGGAAAGAAGATAGTCCTTTCTTTTATTTTATATCTCCTGCCACTTAAGAGTGTTCAAATGGAAAAGACTAGTCAAGAGTGGGCCACAAACCTATTCAAATACATCTAGAAATCCAGTGAGGGAAAATTGATGTCATAGAGATTGAAAGCAGCAAGAATGGGCTTATCCTGATTATTTGGTTGGACACCACAATGTGCAAAACACTATTGAGTTTGTGGTCCTTCCTATCAAGGAGATGCCAAGAAAAACTGAGAGGAATCACACAGCTTGTTCTTCAGTCTTTAGTGCAGGGAGGAAGACTATCTCCCGCAAGAAGGCAAAATTTTCAAGTGACTATAGACATGCGAGGAACATCTCCATGCTGATGCAGGGCAGCTTGTAGATGAAGGGCAGTTTGGAGATGAATCAGATGATTCATAGCACTTATTGCTCAAAAAGAAAAGTTTGAACCTAGTGTCACTGAAACCTTTATAATTAGAAGATCTCCAATAGCATAAGCTAATTGCAAGATACGATAACCATCTTCAATTTTCTTCTCAAAAGATTCAGGTTTCCTTTTTCCATCTCAAGAGACACAAAAACTTACAAGCTCATATACTAACAAAGGCACCAATGTTTAATAATATCTTCTTTTAGGGCATCAAAGCATAAGTGAAATAGAGATAAGTTGTTTGTAGCTGTCATTACTACTTTATCTTAAATTGTATTAAGTAGTTATGTAATATACAAGGAACAAATACGAGAAGCTTCAAACTTACACAAAGGCTTACCTTCCCTTATTTTTACATAGTTCTTATTTCTTTCTCAACTTGGTTTTTGTCTCGGCGAGGATTTCCGCAGACACGTTAGAAGTAAAACTTAACTAAGTACATCCCATCAATTATCTTAGTAGTTGTACTAGCACAACTCATCAAGTCGTGTCACTAAAGCTAACCAGGAAAATTATTCCTTCTACATGTAGATGTAGTTTACCATTAAAGCTATTTTTCAAGAAAAAAGTTACAGATAGATGATGAATTTGATACATAAAAAACATTAGAATTTTCTTTTGAAGTGTTTTCTAAATTAAATCCTAGCTTAGAGAGAGTCAAACAGTGAAGCAGTTTACAAAATTACTTGAATCAATCCACAATATACCCACCACATGAACAACCACGATACAGAAATAATAAAAGCGAATTCTAAATCGAATACAGGAAACGCAGTTAATTCAGAATCCACATCAATTCAAGCGTAACAATCATATATCAAACTAAAATATCCTCACTGGAATTTTAAATTAACCATTAATTAACACAAGAACAAACCTATACATATAATTTTTCAAGAATTTAAATTCATCATAAAATAAAAAACAAGAGGTATACCTCATTTATAGCAACAGAACCATCTGTTTAGCAATACGAACCAAATTCATCAACTTTAACCTCAGGAATTGAATTATCAAGTATCAACCTAAAAATCCCGAAACTCTTAAAAACTTTTTGTTAAATATCACTTAGGTCCCCAAGGGGCAAGGGCAAGAAGCCCTCATACTAGGGGTATTTAATACATTTATTGAAACTCAGGGGACTCAATAAATGCTCACCAAACCAAGCAACCCGTCATTTCTTATGTCCCCAAAGTAATACTACATGTACATACAACTCTTATAAAGATTTATATATAAATTGATGTAGAACAAAATAAATGAAAGAGTAAATATGATAAGTTTGATTTTTTATATTTGCTATTCTATTTTTATACCATATCAATTTGTACATAAATCTTTGTAAATTTTATTTATACATCTAATATTATTGGTCTCGAAACCAGCATGTGGTTTAATATATGAGAAATGGCGTCATTTTAAGTCTACTAAACGACGGCATTTCATGAGGTAAAGCGATGCTGTTATGGCTTCCAAGAAACAACTTGCCATTTCATTAGCACAAGAAACGGCACGCCTTT